AAATGCATTCAATATAAAAAGCTGTTGCACTTGAATTGCTTCTCAGAGAAGAAAGGTCTGTGGAGATGTTAACAGAAGATGTAAGACCCAGTACTTTCACTCATTTTGGCAATTGCTATTCCTTTTAGTTAATTTAACAATATTTCTTGTTGTAAGATTACAGGCAAATTGAGGAGTGTAGAAGTAAAAAGCACTGAACACACGCTAATTATTATTCTGCTATCTTTTAACAACATACTGGAATGTTAACAGTAGAGAGAATAATTCTAACAACGTTTTAAAAAACCCTCTCAATTATGCAAATTTGCTGTAGTTAAGACTTGGCAGATCAAAGAACTTCAAAATGAATTTGATAAGGACAGCCGTATGTGCCTTGTTATTCTACTGCTTGCATGAATATTGCATTCATAAAAGATACTGTATTTCACAACTAAAGACCTGCAGAATTAGGAACATCAGAAATAGAAATGTCCACCATTCTTCTTCTTTAGTTTGGTTTCAGATGGTCCAACCAATAATTGTTCCTCTGGTAAAACTTCTGGTAAAGACAGCAAATAGCAACAGTGACAGGAAAACAAACCAAATGTGGAATGTTCTTTTCATTAGAAAAAGAACGACACTGTTATATATTACTTTTTTGGAAAGAGATTATATAGATACATAGAATATATACTGGTATATATAGATATACAGAAAAGGTAATTATAAACTATAAGATTCTTTCATTATTGCTTTCACAAAATTAAAAGCTTTGGATATAGCTATGGATATGTATTACATTAAAAAAATGAAAATAAGTTGATAAAAATTAGTTTTAAGATATTACATAGATGCCATACTTTCAAAGCTCAATGTGGAACAGACGTTTCTTAGGTTTATACATGGCCCAAAAATGCCATCTGGGTTTGGTACTGTCAGCCAATACGTATATATGAAAGCGTCGCTTGAGGTTTTCCTTGGCAGTCAGATAGAATATGATTTGGCTGTAACACAATGCATATCAAAATAATAACCTGTAGGCCAATAATTCCAGTTAGAAGTACATGTACTGAATTTTACAAGTAGGACTTAAGAAAGAAGAAACTTTAGCTAAAAACTTAATATAATAGGTTCAGAAAATGTGACTGAGAAGTACTTGCAGGAATTATACAGATTCAAAAAAATCTATTAACACATTACAGCTGAGAAGTTGATCAAAGAGTATTATAAAATTCCCTCTAGCAGTACTGTGAGGGTCATAAATGCACTTGGAATTCATTACTGTTATTTCATGTCAGAACAGAAAAGGAAATTAATCATGATTGGGCTCTGTTAGGTTTTTATTATTGCAAATATAGTAGTAGTGAAGAGTAAGAGTACTATAGCAGTATGAAATCATATTTGATAGATATTTCCCATAGTAAACTGTAAATAAATTGAACTTCGCATTCCTAAAAGCAATCTTCCTGAAAAGAACTACCAAACCCTAGGACAATCATTTTAAAAAAGAGATCCAGAAAACAAATAAAAACAACCAACATCGCCAACTCCCCAAGATTAAGAAAATCACACGTAAAATAGGTCCAAATTTTAAATCAGCTTTATTCCCCTGCAGATAGAGGGAATTTGTAAGTTAGTAGCATTCTTCCATGACACAGAGGTCAGTAGTTGGAACATCTTTATTTTCCCACTGACTTATAAGATTGCTGAAATAATGAGTGCACACAAACCAATCCCATCTAAACTTGTAATTCTCTGTTTCCTTAAGATAAGTTTCAAATGAACTTATTTAAACTATCTCGATTTATACAAATTAAGTTCATTTTAAAAAGCAGCATATTGGATGATCCTGTAGGTCTTTTCCAACTGTGAGTTTCTGTGATCAACCATCCAGGTCTGTCAACCTCTAATCCTCTACAGTTACAATTTCTGGTATCCCAAATAGAAAGTGCTTTAAGGAATTGGATAATATAGATTATACTAGCTGTTAGATGCAGTCTTATAAATGTATAGTATGACTTCACTTGAAATATCAGACTTCTAAGTCTGAGATAGTTTTAAGTACAAATAAATAGAATGAAAAACTGCTCTGACTACATGAACGTTGCATCTAGATGAGTATAATTAGATCTCAGCAGAGACTGTGTTATAGCTGATTTGATTTATAGTCATTTTGTAGCTCTTCGCTAATGAAGAAAAGATCAGTTTGATGGTGCCACTAATGCATTTCTTCATTTATGCAAAAAAGTCCTTTTTGTTACTATCAGTACTTCTGATAATACGATTGTGCATACATATCTACTGAAAATACACACGGCCAAAGGGATTATGAAGCTGTTTTGTCCTTCAGCAGGTGTACTAAATTTAGGCAGGCACATTAAGTACAAGGGAGCCTGGAGGAATAAATACAGTACACTTCCTTAAACTCACTGACCTGTTCATTTAGATGCATGTTCATTCAAAGAATGCACCAAACTAACTTCTAGTGGCAGGCTGGAAAGAAATTTTGTAATCTAGAAATTACAGTAGTTTCCAGCAACTCTACCAACAGCTGTCAAAAGCAGCTTTATTTGATACCTGATATCCATATTCTCAGAAGATAGCCCTGAAGAGTAGAGGTGCAGCAGTCAACTGCAAGTAGCTTAGATAACAGCAAAGATTAATTTTTATTAAACAAATTTGTGAAAAGAAAGAAGGAGTTTTTAATTAAGATATGAAGATAATTACAAGCTGTTTACAGTTTTGCTGTGTTGAAAAGCAAGCACTTAAGTCTTTGAAGAAAGGGATAGGTACAACAAAATTGCTCATCTTCAACAGTATTCTTATGTAGTATTCTTAGCATTCTTAGTATACTCCACAGAACTCACTCACAAAGTCTACAGTCAATATGCAACATGGAAGCAAAATTACTCAAAACAAGATATTCAGTCATTAAAAAGTACAGAGCAGAAAAGGTACACCAGTGAGCATTAAAGTACACTGGACAACACAGTATCAATCTCTAAAAACCTGTCTTTAATTAAATTGCCTTCAAAACCAAGGCAAAGTGTGAAACAAAACACATCTGGATTTGCATGGTGAGAAATCCTGCACCCTTCTACAAGCAGGCCTACTTCCTGCCTGGAACGTGCAACATCTTTCAGACTTATCTTCTGTTTCTTCATAACTTCTCCAGAGTACACTAAGCTTTTTTTTCTTTTCTTTTCTTTTTTTTTTTTTTCCCTGCTGTACTCCTTTCCCACTGCTTGGGCAGGAACATTTCAAGCTATGGCTAATTCCAACTGTACATTGACCACACGGCCAGTCAGAGGACAAAACATTACAAATAGCTGTTGATCTCTACTTAAAGAGTTTTTTCTCACATGGAATTTTGTTTTCTACTTAACTGTTGAATTTTACAGAACCTGTAGTTTTATTTGCAGCACATATTCTTCAATTACGCTTCGCTTCAGTAGGCTAGTGTATTCAACTTATTTAGGACTACAAATAAGCAAAAAGACAGCATACTGAAGTAAGTTTCACATCCACAGGAATCCAGGAAAAAGAGAGAGATCTTGTACAAACCTTTGCCAGTATTTTTTTTTGTATGGTTAACAAGAGAGGCTCTACAGTGACTCGGCACTGACAAAGTTTGCCAGCCGTCATTTTGGCAACTGCCAATAATGATATGCTAGTTATACACAGCAGCACTGCCTGCCTAAGGGCATGGCCTGATGCACTGTGCTCTCCTCTTAGATTAACTACGCATCTCTAGATTTACTGTGGTGTTTTAAGTGTTCCTAACTAAGCTCTCAGATTTAGCTTATGAAGAAACCTTTCAGAGCAATGACGCCAAGAGCAAAACTAGAGGATTAGTTTGTAAAACTGAACTTGTACAGTTAGAAAAAAATACTCTGCATTTTCATATATGGGCAGTAATTACTAGCTTGAACAAAAACGTAGCCTTATAATTTCAAGCCCAACTTTAAGCATGTATGAATGCAGAAGTACTACAGAGTATCAGAATATTTGCAGCTATCTGGTACACATTTAATGTCATGTTATTTCTCTGTATTTCCTAGGGTAGAATAAACAGTTCTGAGCACAGTGCTCAGAGTGACAGCATTAACACTGATTTAGGACCCCAAACGCCCACATCTCTTTCCTTAGATTATTGTCATTAGTTAGCAATGTCTGTTCTTATGAGATTATCTTACCTGACCCATTTTTCAAGTATCCATTTGCATCAACAGTTGTATACATGATGTAAGGACCAGGCTGATTAACACCAAAAGGCTAAAAGTGAGAGGGGAGGGAAAAGAAGTAGGCAAAATTTTAGGAACAGACAAAGCTCTAATAATAAAAATATGAAAGCAAAGACAAACTTTTACAGATTAATGATTTCTGCAGGATAGATTATTTTGAAGTCTTGCTCTTACACTGCCCATAGCAATACATGGAAATTCATTTTCAAAATAAGGCTAATCAGTTGTCTAAGTACCATTCTGTTTCTCATGAAGAAAGCAAAGCTATTCAGTCCTACGGCAAAAGGTTGAACCTACAGAGCTTTAAATATATTAAAAATCTAAAACCTCAAATTGTAACTGCATGTTCTGAAAAAAAAAACAAACCAAAAAAACAAAAGGACTCATTCAAGATTTTTCTGAGAATGCTCCATTCTGATGGAGTTTCTTAATCTGAAAATAGAATAGAAATTCAAAATTATTATCAATATTCAGCAATGTTTTATTTAATTGAAACAGCTGAACAGTTAATTTTCAGGTACCAATATCTATTTTAAATAAATTATTTTCACAGAAGATGAGCTTAAACATCAAAGTACAGTTACGGGGGTAAAAAAAAAAAAGGAAGGAAAATCAAAGGGAGTTGTGGATTACTGAGTGATGAACCGTGTCATGTACCTACGTGAGAATAGGAGGAGCATATGTGGGGGGGAATTATCTGTTAAGGGAGGGACAGGGAACAGCTACAAGAGAAGACTTTAAATAAGGCATTTTTCTTTTTTCTTTCTCTTCAAACAGTGAATTCAAGCCGATATTATGACACTGAGTTCAGTAAAACGACCTTTCAGATGAGATGCAGAAAGTTCACTGAAGAAGAGATGATGAATGTTTTGCATCACGCCTCAAAAAATAGTAAGTTGTAAACCGTAAGAAATAAGTAACGATGATGAAAGCCAGTATCAAATCTGGGAAAACAGTAATTGGCCACAGTGAAGCATAAGGAGACAGAAAAGATGATGTTAATGCAGAACTGTGAAAGATGAACCTTCTTTGATGTTAAAATGTGCATTATTATTGTCTTGGCCAAGTATTTGTATTCTGACATAATGTACCTCATGACACTAAGTTTTATCTGTTAGTTTGTTGGCTTTTTTTTTTTTTTTTGCAATAGTATTTTGAAATAGTATCATTGAAATAATCTTGACTATCAAGTGTTCAACATCTGTTTAACATCTGCTTTCTAAACCTTCTCCTCATTTTGGTAATTAAGCTAATAATACTACCAAAAACCTCTTAATATCTTTTATTAGAAATTAATCTGATGTCTTAAAATAGGCTTGAAGAAAAGGATGGTTTCTTTCGAAGCAGGTTGTTTTCTAGTTTTCAAACTAAATTTTAAGTTTGCAGCTTTTGCAATTCAGCTCTGCAAAATTAACTTTGATTCCCGAGTTCCCCTTTCAGGCCTCTCTCTGTGAATACTGTCATTTGCTAATTGAAAGTTAACAGAAAACAGGTGGCTTTCAGGGTCTCTGGAGATTATTAAAAGATTTGAAATAGAATTAAGACATCTACATGTAGCTAATCTGCAGAACCATCAAAACCAAGTACATTTCTTTCTCTTCCTTCCTCCTCCTTCCTTGTACCCATGTACCTGACTTTAGCCCAGAAGTTGCAACCCAGCACCCAAGAGCTGAATTTGTCCCACAGTGTTTTACCTGACCTTTATGACTGCCCTGATCAAGACGTGGCACATTTCATGGATTAGGCATCCAGCAGTATTACACGTTTTTCTTGTACCTGACATAACCCAGCCCCTGTGATGCTGCATAACAAATCTCACTGCAGAATCAGTCCATGGAGACAACTGAAGAAAGACAGTCTCACACATGCACCACTTGGCCCGTCGATCTTTGGATCATACGTTCTTCTGGTCAGTAACTGTCCTGGTTATGTACGTGAACGACTGTCAGCATAATTAGACCCCAGCTTATTTAAACCTAAATAGTATTGTAAAGACACAGTTATACTTACTGTTATTTTCCGAGGACAGTCATTAGAACAGAGGCCACTGAGAACTGCAAGAACAGAAAGTAAGCTTACAGTATTTATATGAAGAAGCCATCTTACAAGCACAACCTCAAAAATCTGTTGAAACATACTACTAGATGTCATGTATCCATTAAGATAGATAAACAAAACAGATCTTATTCATTACGACTTACGCACTACAAGAATGCTAATTTGCTTAAGTATATTACTTTGCAGAAATTAATCAGCTAATCACTGTTTTCTCATACCTCACTGGTTAGCTTGCTTCCTAAAGACACATTTGTCAGTTGAAAAAAATCCAAATTAAAAAATGTTAAAACATAGTGGACTGTACATTTTACTCATTACACTTTACTTCTAACCATTTAAAATATACTTGCCAGAAATTCAGCTTTACTTTTTTTTTTTTAACTGGAAAAGAGCAAAGTAAAGGCTTTTCCCCAAATACAGGCTTTAAACTTGATTCAAATCAAGTCCCATTACCTGTTTATTCTGTATTATTCAGAAGTATTATAAGCAGATGTGCATAATGCTTCTTAATACCTAAAGCATATGACAGTTGTTGAATTACTTGTCAGCTTGAAAAATCAGCTGACTATAGAAATGTTGAACATTTATAATCAACTAAGGGACAATGAAAGCCATCTGTTCTGTAACCTAGAACATCCTGTCACATTAAATATTAGATGCACAAAATCTCGGGTACCAAATGTGCAGTGACAGCGAGGCACTAAGCGGTGTGTCTGATCAAAAATCATCCCAAACTAGTATAATAAGGACTATTTGTATTTTCTGTGAAAATCTGAATGGAAATTATTTCAAAGTTAAAATTTTTAGTTTGTGACTTAACATTTTTAAACATCCAAATAGAGAAAAATCTGCATCCATACAGTCGAAAGTCTGGACAATTAAGGTGATGGTATGGCAAAGTACAATTTGAAGATGGTGCCTGTATCTAATAATGGACAACAAGCTACAAATTATGTTGTATGTTGGACAAAAATGCACGTTCAAGTGGAGCCACCTCTTCCTATTTTGATGAAAAACAGCACATGGCAATTTGCTGTTCAATTTCACTGTGGGAACAAATAACCTGACCAAGTTCATTTGACTACTTTCATTGTCCATATACCAAATAAATGAAGACAGTGCATTTAGTGATACACCAATGGGTATAAAGCCTGTTTTACTATAAATACTCCCTCCTCTGACACAGCAGAAATGTTTTTAAGCTACTCTAATTTCCATTTTCTGGGGTTTCTACAAAAACATGAGCATACCAAGTACAGTGCTAAAAGTCAAAGCAAACCAATTTTAAGATATATGTAATACCGATGCTGAAAATTATTCTATTACCCATTCAAAATATCACACAATTGTCTGTCTAATGTAGCTTTGTGAAATAAGCATTTTTCTAGAAAGTTTTCTTCACGCTTGTGATTATTACACTATCCATACTCAGTATTATTTAAAAAGAGTACATCTTCCATCAGCATGACAAATCATTGTAGTCTAATATGATGAAAATAAAGGCCAAACTACAGAGTAACTAACACATGAATCAGCCCCCAGTAGATGCAATTCTGTTCATCTTACAGCATGCAGAATGCATGTTCAGAATCATTACGTATATTTAAAAAACACAAAGGCAAACAATTTCTCCACAGTGAACCTCCTGTTCTTGTTTAGTTTTCTCTGAGTTCACTTACAGCTTTACCTTTTATCCCTCCTCAGAAATGAAGGAGGGCAGCCAAGCAATGAGCTCAAAGCTCAACACCTCTGCAGTCTGAAAAAACATGGTAGGGCAATTTGAAAACCTAATTACTCTGAATTACAAATATCATAGCGTAACAATAGCCTTTTAAACCAATGCTTTAATTAATTCACACATCCTTGCCATGCTATCTGTCATCCTAAATTGTTCTGTTAAGATGTATTTCATGCCATGTAATACATAAATATAGGCTGAAAACACCAAACTGACTGAGACATGGAAACGTACTCTCAGAATAGATCATGCAGAACATGAAATATGCTCCATGCAGAAGATCACTGAAATGAAACCAGTTCATTTTGGCCTAGATTCTGCATCATTTCCAAAGGATATGGGAAGAGAAACTCTAGTAAATTAGGACAGAAGTCCTTGCTGGAAAGAAAATAGCACAACCACTCAAGGCACAAATGAAAATAAATATATTTGTTTATTGGTTCTTGCCTAAATTCTGAAAATAGCCAAGATAAAAAGATAGTCATGGTGGACAGACAAAGCCCATTCCTTCAAGCCAATGCTTCTTTAATGTCTTATGGATCTCTTCTGAATTGTTATGGCATACATACCTATAAGCATAATTACATTTTTATTAGGTCAGTGACTAATAGGCTGATCTTCCTCTAAATTTTAAATATCATGAGACATTAAAGTCTATGCTGAAGAATAGATATGTGTAGAATTACGTTGCTTTTACAGTGACAGCGCTATATCATTGCTACACAGTGACAGTGACAGCTACATTTGGAGATAAGTGAAAGTATTATATAGAAGATTCACAAAAGGGAGCCCTTGAGGTCAGCCAAGTCCAGCCCTTTCCCTCAAAACCAGATATACTGCATAGTTTGTTCAATCTAGTTGTATAAGTCTCTAATGATGGAAACTCTGCAGCTTCTCCAGGAATTTATATTAGTACTTCAAAAATTGCTGTTCAGGAAATTACTCTTACTATTTACTCTTGTTGTAAGTTTGTTAATTTCTGTCATATCCATCACAGAAGGCATGGACAACAGAAAGCCAGACACACTTGTTCCCCTGTAGTTATATATCATCATGGATTGAAGTCATGAATTTCTTCACATTTCACTTTTAGAATGAATAACTCAGTTTCCCTGCAGATCATAATTTTTGATATTTCACAATTAGTTTTCCTCTGAAAGCCAGAAGATCTTTTAAAGTCTAGTATCTGTCTTTAGGATTTTGCTAAGATGCAGAAGTGAAGAACCAAAGCTTCAAAATGAAAGGAAGGATTTAGCCCGCCTCTAGGTAACAAGTGAGATATGACCTGCTTTCTAAGTAAAAGCACACACCCAGAGATAATGAACACTTATTTACTTGAAGGACTTTGTGGTCAAAACTGTTATTAAAAACTGGTGAAGTGATATTAGAACAACAGAAGTATGGAGAATAGTGGACAGAATTGCTTGGAAATCAAGTATGCTAACTTAAAATTAGGAAAAAACCCCAACCTTTGAAACCAAACAAAAATGAATTATCCAAGTATAGATTCTGCAATCTCTTTCTACAGACCCTAACATTTTCCATGCTGTATTTTTTTTTCTAGTACTGCATGCACACTGCATTACCATAATGTTATCATGTACAGAGGATCAAATATTCACATTCCCCTCAAGATCTGATTTTGACCTGATTTTATGGTAATAACTTACCAATAACTTTAACAAAATATGCATCTGCTTCAAAGTTGTTTTTTAACGTATGGATAGCAAAGTCTTCACTGGAGTGGCCCTTGCTTACTACAATGATATCCAAGATTCCCTAGAGGGAAAAAAAAAAAAGTTGAGTTAGGAATGAGAATGCTGATTTACTTTACATAGCATCTAAATTCAGTAAATAAATTCCCTTAGAGACACAAAGGAAAAGAAAAAAAGCGTGCAGCAAAGTTTACTTTTCCTCTACCAGTTATAATATATTTAGTATTGTATTAATCTATGGCAATATTAGACCCTCCATCCACACATAGCAAGGATAATACACGAGGTTTGTGTCTTCCATGGCACTGAAGAGGGCAGTTCAAACAGCAAATAGAAGGCTGGCAAACTTTTAGTCTGTGAATGGGCTGCTGCTACCTGCCCATCTTCCAGAGAGTATTTCAACAGCATGCAGAAACATCCCAGTCTGAAAGCACTGCCTGCCATGTGCTGTTAAGCCAATGTTTACACATGGCAGTGTAAGAATAACACAAAACATATACAGCAGCACAGGAGTGACACTCTGCTGCAG